GGAAAAGTATAATCGGGACCATTTACCGAGTGCATCTGGACGTTCAGACACGAAAAGGAGGTCCAAGCACTCCGAATATCATTCTATAGCGGGGTGGAGGATCCCGTGACCCACATCCATACTTTTCAATCGGCTTTGGGTTGCAAAGGGCTCACTGATGAAGGCCAATGCTTACTTTTTCCCTCAACCCTGGCCGGAGCAGCCTTGAATTGGTTCTACCGATTGGAGCCAGGTACGGTTAACTCTTTTGATCAGTTGAAACAGACTTTCCTCAATCATTTTTTGATTCAGACCGATCGCCTGTATTCTGCCGATGACCTTTACACCATCTGGCAACAGGAGGACGAGCCCCTAAGGGAGTATGCGGCCAGATTCAGCCACAAATATTCTGGATGCCCAGAAACCGACGACAGGGCGGCATTCGGCGCTTTCAAGAATGGTCTTCAGTCATCTCAATTTCGCTATCTGGTTCACAGTAGCACATTGTTGAGTTTTCACTCACCTCTCATGCCGAACGGCAGACGCCCATTGTTGAGTTTTCACTCACCTCTCATGCCGAACGGCAGGAGTTCAAAAGCCAAGTTTACCTCACCTCTCCGCCTCTTGGGACTCTTTGGCATCTCCTGCTGTCTTTTTCCACGCTCCCTCGCTCGGGGACTTGGGGGACTACATGACTACCATCGGCAAGCCACGAAGGCAGAAACGAAACTATCGCGTCCGGGTCAGAATGCCGAAGACACATTCAAGTCCCCAACCAAGAAGTCGCTTCTCAATCGGTAACTTAAGGGACTACTATTTGTACCATATCTGACCCTCGACGCATACTGTGACACGTGGAATGGTAAGCTCTCCCAATTGCCTAGACGAGCAAACAATCGGCATCAACTACCGATGACGCCGAGTCAAGTCTACAATCGGCACATGTTGACGATTATGCGGAACAAACCTCGAAGGCCCCGCCCTAAATATCCAAAGACTCGTGTCAACCTCAGAGAACCCTCCCATGAGTCCCATATCGAAATTAAGTACTAAGAGCATACCAAATGCCCTCTATAAATAGGCCCCTTTACTACAACGCAAGGGTTAAGACTTTTCAGCTCGACTTTTATGATAAATACATTATCAGTAGCAAAAAAGGCTCTTATAAAGAAACTTACTTTGGCATCGGAGGGTCTTAGGCTGGTTCCACACCGGTACCATAGACCTCACGAGCCTCGGCTTCTCTTGATTCAGGATCGGCTCCCCAAGATGGAAAGAACCTATGTCAAGCACTCAATCGATCCTTGATCGCCCACATCACCTGTAAGTTACACCTATCTCTATCTGTTCAGTTTTAGTGCCAACAAGTACATATATACATATATATTTTCGCCCTAAAAAAAGCCTTAATGTTAACAAGACTAGAATTATAATTTAGTAAGGAAAGAATAATCAACTTTTCTTAAATAATATATTTAAAAAAAATTCTACCAAGCGCATTCTTATTGCTTTTTCCCTTTTTCAAATATCAGTACCAAACACTTGTATTTTTCGTTCTCGTGTCAAACTACCAGACGCATAATTTTTTATTTTCCAAAGCAGTTTTTTGAAAACCCCTTTTGTAAACTGGTATGCAGGGGAGGAGGATTTCCTCCCTTCTTTTAGCTGCAATTGCAGCAAAATTCTGCATCACATATCTTTCTGGATTCACACTACCGACTTTAGCCGTCTCATTCATTCTGTCATATGTTCTCATTTTGGGTTTGTAGAACTGGACCAGTAGTGAACATGAGTTTTTCCACATTATAATGGTTGAGTGTTCCACTAAGCATCATTGCACTTTGGAACACGACTATAATATTCCATCTCAGTTCCTTTTTTTAGTGCTTCATTTAAGTGAGAAATGGGGAAACTAATGAGATATATAGATCTTGTAATCCATAAACATAATAACATCAATGCCATCGTGTCACTCGATTACTGCAGGAAATGAGTGAATTTCATGACTATTAGTCTAATCTTATTAAACTAATTAGCCATTTGTAGTTGTCTTTAATTTTGTACCTATCAATATCATTGCAATTTGGCGTTGATGTGAGCCACAGAAAAAGTCAGACTAACGCACTTGACATAATTTGTCTACAAAGACCAATGAAGAAGGAAGAGTAACGCACTAAATTTTTTTCTTGTTTTCTTTTCTCTATTTCTAGCAAATGAAGAAGGAAGATTACTATTAAGGTAAATGCTTAATGTAAACTAAACCACAGAAAAGATATACACACTCAAGACACTTGGCATATGTATTTAGAAACAAAAGCTCTATACCTTTGATGCAACCATGAGATTAAGTGTCACGCCCTGGACCCAGGGGTAGGTGGAAACCCCACGCCCGGTGTGTGAGTAAAATAAAATAAAAAGAAAGCCGAAACATAAAATAAACTTTTCTTATAAAAATAGTTCCAAAATCTTACAACTTTACAATAAATAAATAAAGCTCTATCACTCTCATCTAATTCAGCCTCAACTGATTTAGTTCTTGTCTTACCCATAAATTCATCGGAAAAATTAAACAGGGTGAGGGATGAGCAACCACCGCTCAGTGAGTAGATTATGTAATATGCCAGTCAAGCAATGCCGTTTTACACACTCTAGAAAATATCATGAAAAGATATACCAGTCTAGATCATATCACATCATCCCTTCATATCTCGGTTATCCTTCATAGCATGTAACCAACCACGTGACTCCTATTGGTCTCACTGCCCTATGTCCCTGTGTGGTACATCTATCCCTCGGATACCCCAACATTGAAGTTCTTATGTTCCATGAATAATACATACTTCACAAATATTCCAAACAATATATATATAGTGTGAAAGATTGCACCAAATTAGACATGCTTGACTTGAAATAGAGAGATATTTGTAAATAGAATAAATCCACGATAATTCATGGTTTTCATATTTTATCACAAAATAAGAACTTTTAGAACACATTACATAAACCACTTACCTCGATAATGAGAGCCCTTAAAATAAATTGGCAAGACAACCCATCTACTTATCTTCATATACTATCACTCAAAGCAAGCTCCAAGTGTTTCATCACCATTCTCTCTCTCTCTCTTTCTCTCTCTCTCTCTCTCTTATCTTTGGAAGTAGTAGTAAATAACTTGTAAGCTTCCTATTTATACTAGAATAAAGTTGGCAATAAATCACTTCTTATTGGATGGTGCAATGGCGGTTGATATCTACTTCCTATCCAAGTAATATATATATTAGATAAGGAAGAATGTCTTTGTGACTTTTCCAACTCCTCCAGTCCTATTCCTTTCTTATTGGTGAGTTGGCTAACCTTGCTACTTAGCATGGTTTTCACTTTGACACGTACAAGGACAATTAATAAGGTTTATGAATTGACAAAATTACAAGGAATATATATATATATATAAATACGGGGTTTCACAATAAGCAAAGTGGTTTAGATCATCTATTCTCTACAATTTTTTCCTCAATATTTTTGAATGGTGCTAGACTAATTGTGTATAATGAGGCCAACGGAGTCTAGCCTAATGAAAAAGGATTTTGACTTGCAAATCAATGATTTCAAGTTCGAAACTCCATGACATCTTGGTAGTGTGTATATGTGAGTAACCTTCCTCCCCCTTATTAAAAAAAAAAAAAAACTATGTATAATGAGACCAGGAACTTAATTATTTAAACTCTCCAAGACCCTACGTACGGATGCAACTTCTCTTGATGATACTGCTGAACTTAGAGCAGCACTAACATGGTGCAAGTAGAGCCACCGTGTATATATATAAGCGCGCCTAAAATTCATTGACAAATGGCAGTGAATTTGAGTTGGTTTGAGGCCTATTAGCTTCATTTAAGGGACTGGATTTGGAATCCCTCTCTTGTACTTCAAGATTTTCGTTTTTATTCCTTTTTGTTTTTTGGTAACAACAACAACAACAAAAAAACGTGACAAAAAAAAAAAAAAAGGAAACACCAGCAAAATTTCTCCCACACCCAACACAAAAAAAAAAGGACATGCTTTCTGTCCCACTGAAAAAAAATTTGTCTTCTCTTTTTCTTGGTCGTGAACTCTTATTTTGTGGTAAGTAGTAATATCATCATCAATCTCTATACTATCTCTTTGGTTTCCTTTTTCAAGTCTTTTCCTTTTTCTCAATTTCAAGCATTTCAACGCCGAAAGAGTGAAAGCCCTAATTTCTAAATTCATAAAGGTCACTCAAAAATCAAATAGTCCTATCGACATCTTAATTCAAATTCAATTATATGTATCTAAATTTCAGTCTATATATACTACATGACTTGTTTTATTATCATATGGATTTGTTGTGATTGGTTATATATCTGATAGTTCATATCGATATTTGGTTAAACAAGGGAAAATAAACTTTTTTTTACGTACATCACATGCTAATTAATGATGAATTTTAGTTATAAAAAAAATATATTTTATGGTATTAAGTTTTGGCCAATGTTTTATTTAGTATTTTTGTGTTAGATTATATGTGAAAGCCTCAATTTAAGTTTCGCTCAGAGTTGGCCTGCTTATTAACTCCATTATCAATTCGTATACTTGGATGATTGAATCCATGCATTATCAATTCGTATACTTGGATGATTGAATCTCATCCTTTGGCAACCCAAAAAGAAAAACAGACTGACTAAATACGTTCACAAAATGATATGTCAATAAAGTATTTTGTATCTGTTCAAAAAAATACGTAAAAAGATTTCGGTTAAGTAACTAATTTGTTGTTAATATTTTATCAATATACTTCATAATATGAACAAAATATCAACAATGTGAATCAAATATTGTAGATTGGTATTAGTATCAACCAATCAGTGTCTTTAGTGGATTTGGCATGTACATCAACTGCGGTATGATCTAGTCCAGTAAATGTGGCCTCAAGCATAAACACCATATATGCTACTAGTTTGCACCATCTAGGCTCACTCCCAACTAGCTAGCTAGCAAAAAAAAGGATGCGTCCTAAATCCCTGCAATTAGTGTTGTTGCTATTCCTGGGTGTGTCGCTTGTCAGCACTTCTTCTCTTGGTGTTGATCACCACAGATCAATACACGAGCCACTTCCTTTGGGAGCAGCAAACTCCTTTGAACAAGAGTCTCTGCCAGTGCCAGGTGGCAAACATCTCAAGGGACCAAAGAGCAAGCTTGCAAACCAAGAGTGCTGGCGGCGACCACCCCGATATCCGGCTCCAGAACCAAGGCACAGGCCATCACCACGGCCTCCACCACCAAGCTTCAATCCCCCACCACCCCCAGATCTCTACCCGCCACCTTCCCCTCCAATTCTCAATCCCCCACCGCTCCCAAGACACCGCCCGTGGCCACCACCCCACGGCCTCCACCACCAAGCTTCAATCCCCCACCACCCCCAGATCTCTACCCGCCACCTTCCCCTCCAATTCTCAATCCCCCACCGCTCCCAAGACACCGCCGGTGGCCACCACCCTGCTGTCGATTCCCAATACACTGCGATGATTATTGTTAAGCCGCCAATTACCCCACTATGATGATGAGCCTGCCTGCGGTACTAAAGGATACCAAGGCTCGTTGAAGCCACCCTCAAAAGCTTGTTCTTTCAACTAAGAGCCTAGCTCACTTCACTAGTTATGTGTATATAGCTGGCTAGGTTAGTATAATAGTATATGCATGATAAAATAAGAGCTGCCCTTACTATATGCTCATATACTCCTTTGGATATTTGGGCCAGCTGGTTGCTCATTCCCTTGTTTAATTACGTTTGTAAGTTTGCTCAACTACGAATGAATTGAAAGATAGAAAACTCCGCTCGCCTTCTTGGAAAATTTAGTCATGTACCACGTACTATGAGTAACTTCAAACATCTTTATCGATCTATATGAGCTCATGCTTTATAATTCTCGGAGCAGGACTTGTCATTGCCAATTAAGCTTATAAATAAGAAGAGGATCTGGGTCCTTTGTTGAAAACCAATTAAGTTGAGATATATTCCAGTTGACCTCGAAGAAAAGTGGTTCTGGTCTATGAGCCAACTAGTTTAGGGAAGTGAAATATGTCAAGAGATTACCAACCAAATTTTTTTAATTGAATGGGCCAACTATTTTTTTTTACTAGTGGGATCGGAACTCTGTCTTAGTGAACTAATATATGCGGGTTTAGAGTCATTACGTTTACTTTGGGCGGGCTACTGGGTTTAAGCTAAGTCAAAATATAAAAATAATTTCTTTTCCCCTAGAAACTGTTAGCGAGAGATATCCTATTCTATTAGGATATTATTTTATTTATTTCCTTTTATATAGATATTATGTAATTAAGATTCCACTTGTTTTCCCAGTTTGACCCTACTAGGGTTTGTAACCTTATATAATAAATACCTCATTTCGGAGAATGAAATACATCTGAAAATATTCTACCATATTGTTTGACTTGGTATCAGAGCCAGGTTGCGGGCCCGTACTGCCACGTGATGGGTGGGTCCCCGTTTGGCCCCGTGCGATGGGTAAGTCCCCGTTTGGCTCCACGTAGGCCAAAGGTGCCACGTGATGGGTGGGTCCCCGTTTGGCCCCGCGCGATGGGTGAGTCTCTACATGGCTCCACGTGGTTGCCAATGTGGATCTCCACGTGTGACCCATAAAAATGGGGTCTCACGTGCGGGGGAGTGTTGGAACTCATTGTTGTCCCACATCGACCAGAGGGCCAAAGAGAAAGTAGTTTAAATAGAAATATCCCTCTCTAACTAACACCGAGGCCTTTTGTGATAAAACCTCACACCTGAGGATTGTGCAGGTGGCAAAGTGGGGACAGTATCGGTGTTGTTGGAGTGGGTCCTCAGCCCGTTAACCTGGAAAATTTGACAGAAACAACTTGGAAAAGTCAACGGGGTCTAGCCCAATGAAAAAGGGCATTGACTTGCAAACCAGTGGTCTTATGTTCGAACTCTAAAAATACTTGTAGGATAGGTAAAAACTACCTAAAAAATTATAAGGAACAAATTAAATTAAATTACGGCAAAAGGATTGATATGATGTAATACGGATTTAATAATGAGATAGGAAGAATAAACGAAAGATATTGAAAAATATGCCTAAATGAGATGCACTTCTAAAGGGATTCTATTTCATTAAAAATCAAGGAAATAAAATCATATCAAACTCCAAAAAACATTCATATCATGAGTGCATGAAAAATGACATGTCTTTGAGCTAACCATGTTGAGTTAGCATGAAAGTTTTGCTCAGTTGTCCCACAATCATGCTCGTCAACAAACTTCTTCACTTGAACCCATTCACTGCTGAAGCAAAACAAACCCATCAACAATTCCCTTCACACACTGCCCTCACCCTATTACGATAATTTCATTTGAATTTAATCAACCTCCTGTTTATAATTGATTAGTTCCTAATTGATTTCCCAAATACGTCATTCGTTGCAAATCTTAAACCCACATCAGCAGTCAAAACGACTTTTGTTCAAGGTGGGGTCCACAAATCCACATCACCAACTCAGATTGGTGAGAAATATGCGAGTTAAGATGAATTGACCAATATACCCATGCCACGTCATCATTTTAATGGAGCTTGGGATGAAGTTGACGGAAAGTGGTTAAATGACACATGAAAACCTGGTCAAGGGGGCCAAGTGGGTCACTTTAACTTTAAAAGGGTAAAGTGGGATTTGACTAATGTTTCAGGGAGCATTTTTGCTTACCACTTTAACTCAAGGTATACCCTCACCACCATTTTAAAATCTTGACACCTGCCCATGTGTAAACCATAGTTAATAAATTATTTTTAAATCTTTTAAGTATTTAAAATTATAAAATAATAATTATTTAATTTTTTTTAAAAAAAACACTTTCTCCTCTCCCCATCCCCGTACCCCTCCCCTTTCCTCTTCCCAACCCACACACTACCCCAAACGCCCAATTTTCTACAGCCACCACCCACCCAACACACATATACATAATAGTATCTTTGAATTGAAATTAATTAGTTACATTTGAGACTCTTGAAAATAAGATTTCAATGAAAGTATCCAAACCAAAAAAAATAAAAAATTTCAATGAAAGCAAGTTTTGGGAAAAATCCCAACTTCCGGTGAGAATTGAGAAAGTGAGGTATGTTTCAAGATGCCCTATAGTGGTAAGAGGAGAGCTTACATATTCCAAGCCCGGCTCAAATCTAAATGAGATTCCATATTCGAAGCAGGAAAAGCAATGAATAGAGACGAACATGAAGTCACCACGTTCGACTATGGTGCTAAGTTTAGGAAATCTGGGCACAGAGAGATCACAGATTACTTGTTGTATAACAACGACAACGGAGGCGAAAACACCGAGAAATGGTGGCTGGGGTTGATGAGAGGGTATAGGGCGTCTGGGCTGGGTTGGGTCGAGAAGGGGGAGAGAGTTTTTTTTAATGTTATTTTATTTTTAATGTTATTTTATTTTATTTTATTTTATGATTTTAAATACTTTTTTTTTAAGATTTAAAGATATATTATTAACTGTGGTTTACACATGTACATGTGTCATGTTTTAAAAATGGTGATAAGAATACACCTTGAGTTAAAATGGTGAGCAGAAATACTTATCTTTTAGGGTGTACTGAAGTAATTAAACCTTTAAAATAAAATAAAATAAAAAAAACTTACCGCCGTGTGTGCGTGTGAAATTGGTGTGCTGCCGCATAAGTGCTCACTGACCCAGTTTCATAGTTGTTTTTCTCGAAATTGGTGGCCTTCTGCATCATCTTTCTGGTTTGTTAGGGGTCCATATTCCGCACTCACAAACCCACTTTTCCCCTCTCATTCATTCCCTGCTCTCCACTTTCTTCTCCAAAGAAACAAAGATTTCAAGGAATATATTCTTTGCTTTTTATTTCAGTGTGCACCATTCGTTTTTCTAAAGCTCAAGAAGGAACCCAAATCCCCTCCCTATCCATTTTGATTTAAAGCTCACAGTCCCTCTAACTTTTCTGTTTTTTCCTCTAAGGAATGAAAGTCTTTGGAGCTCTAGAAGGCCAGAGCACTGCTCTTTATTCTTATACTTGGGGTTTGCTTTTCGGGTTTGCTTTGTTCTCTGCTTGTTGAAAGATTACATTTTTGTTAAGAGCGAGATGGAACCTAGTGTTCTTGATAGTATAATTAATAGGCTTCTTGAAGTTAGAGGGAGACCAGGTAAACAAGTACAGCTCCAGGAGGCTGAGATAAGGCAACTTTGTTTTGTATCCAAGGATATTTTCTTGAGGCAGCCTAATCTTTTGGAGCTTGATGCTCCTATCAAGATTTGTGGTATTTTTACATGAACCCCATATTCTCCTTTGTCTTATATTAATTATAATTTGCTTTTTGTTTGGTGGGTTGATAAATTTTGAGTTTGAATATGAAAACTCTGTTCTGGGTATAAATAAATAGTAGTCTGCTTGTGCTGGGTATGGATAATTTTTATTGGCTTGAACTGGGTTATGATCAAATCTGAAGATTAATAAGTTGTGTTCCATTCCATCATAAAGTGATTAACAATCGTGCTAAAATATATCATCTTTATGCTCATTTCTCGAGTTAAACTTGATAACTGGCCCTTTTCCACCACAATTTTTATTCCCAATTCATAACAAGCTGAGTCCCTAATCTTCACTTGACTAAAGGGAAGAATCACATGGCTGCGAAGATCTTTGGAAACTCTGAAAACTTGGTATTCATATTGGATTCGAGATGTATGGACACTAGTAAATGCCTAGTGGTATCTTTTGATAATGCTCTATTGTTCGTCTTCTGTGTATTTTTCTTTCCTGTATAACCTTCTCTTCTGTCTACTTTATTACTATTTGACTTTCAATTTGTTTAAGCATTATACAACATTGAGCTATGGAAAGGTGTACTTGAGGCCGTGAGGGCTTGGGAATATTTGCTGGCCAATTACCACTACTAAGCACAACCCTAGAACTTCAATTCTTTTTGTGTTCCCTAGTTTGCACCACTTCACTTTTTGAAGTGTAAGGGATATTCTTCTCCCAGGAGAGCAGAGGTCTATATGGATGTTATGTCAACACCACTGGAAACTCCATGCTTGTAAACCCTTCTCCCTCTAGCCG